TGTGTGCAGGGTGGGTCAATGGGCCCAATTCAGACAAACCCCCTATCTAGTACACAGGGCTAGCCTGGTACAGGTGCCACATGCAGTATACATCCCCGTGCAGCCTCATGCCATGTACAGCCCATGCCAGGCAGGCTCCACAAGGAGTATCAGGAGATCAGAGACTCGTTCATGGACCTGATTTCTCTTGATCTGAGCCTGACAGATGCCAAAGCCTGATGTTGCAATATGTGTCTCTGTTCTTCAGCATCCATAGAAACTTACTGTACTGGCGAATCCCACTTGGGACAGAGGTTTGTTGGAGTCCAGCAGGTAGAAGATTTATGCTGTTTGGAATTCACTCTCTCCATAGATGTTCCCATGGCCAGAAACAATGATCCCATCATGAGAAAAATTTAAAAATATCAGCCTCTCTCAATCCCCAGTTTGGGATTTATTTTATTTTTTCATGAACCAAACAGTCCCAAAACATTTCATTTTGACCTTATCAGTTTTGTCTGGACTTCATCACAGCAGTTGACAATCTAGAGCCCATGATGCCATTGTATCCACCCTGTGGAGGAAGATCTTTTGCTAACAGGGGCCTTCTCTGACCCTGCGCTGTGCTGTACTGCAGCTGGGCAGCAAAAAGAAGCAGCACTGACGAAAAGTGGTAGTAGTCACCTGGTTTTGGTATCACCCTAGTTTTTCCCTGAGCTGGGTCAATCTGGCCTAAAAATGGAAAATGTTGGTGATCCCCTGCTCTATTATAGTGGTGTGTCCACAGACATCCCAATAGCCCTCCTTGTAACCTTCAAGAAAGAGTGGTTTTGTCTTCCCAATGTGGAAGCCATCACTTTCTGATGGCATCCCTGGCTGGGAAACTCCTTGAGATCACAGTTATAATTCTTGACCACCATCTCCACAGCCCCATGCACTTCTTCCTGATGAATCTTTCTATCCGAGTCTGTGGAACTATCTCTGTCACCACCTCAAAATCCTTAGCCAATTCTCTGCTGAACACCAGGTCCACGTTCTATGCTGGATGTGTCGTCCAAGTCCTTTTCTTCTTGTTTTTCCTTGCAGCTGACTTCCCTTCCCTCACCATCACAGCACATGATCAACGCACTGTCATCTGCAAAACACTGCACTATGAGACAATCTTGAACAGGAGAGGTTGCATCTAAATGGCAGCCAGTGCATGGATTTGTGGTTTTCTATATTCTGCCCTGCACACTGGTAACACCTTTAGTGTATCTTTCCAGGAAGCTAATATCATCAAACAGTTCTTCTGTGAAATCCCTCAGCTAATCAAGCTCACTTGCTCTGACTTGTACCATACACACCTTGAGATAATTGCTGTTGGTGTTTGCATAACTTTAGACCCATTTTCTTTTCATAATTGTATCATGCATTCAGATCTTCAACACAGTGCCCATCTGAGCAAGGACAGCACAAAGACTTCTCACCTTCCTTCCTCACCTCATTCTGGTCTCTTTGCTTATAAGCATGTGTACCTTTCCCTATATGAAACCTATCTCCAGCTCCCCATCAACTCTTGACCTCATAGAAACCATAATTATTCCATGCTGGATCCAATAATCAATCCAGTTATGTTCAGCAGTGGGGGGGGGAGGGGTGGGAGGGTTTTCGGGGGGGGGGCAGTGGGAGCAGTTGAGTGCAGGG